GAAAGAGTGCGGGGTGCAAGGTTTGCAGTGGTGAATGGCTGTCCAAGGAGCACCCTGTGCCCCAACGGGTAAGGAAGCAGCCCTGCCCATGCAGGAAGCTTTGAAAAGAAACTTGAGTTTAACTCGCTTGTTCTCCTGTGCTGAGTGGTGCCAATGAGGGGATTTAGTTAGGGTCACTGGTGTCTCTCTGCCACAGAATCAGGTTAATCCTGTTTCAGGAGCAACAGGGTGAATTTGCCAGCTGCGCTGAGACTTTGGCCCTTCTCGCTGATTTCAGTCCTATTGTGTTCGTGGCCATGTCTCCAAGAGTGAGGAAGGCTAGGCTCTCTGACGTCACAAGCCAGCTGCCAGGCAGACAGATAGACACTGCAGCACAGGTGTCCTCACCCAACCCACAGACAGCCTCGGAAGAGGCGGGCTGTGACGGTCTCTTAGCCACGCTCATCTGGGGTATTCAAATCACTCAGGAAAAGAATTGGGATCAAAGTCAAACTCCTCGAAAAGGGAACCCTCTTGCACTGTTGGTGGGAATGTAAATTGATGCAGCCACTATGGAAAACAGTATGGAGGTTCCTTAAAAAACTAAAAATAGAACTACCATATGACCCAGCAATCCCACTACTGGGCATATACCCTGAGAAAACCATAAATCAAAAAGAGTCATGTACCACAATGTTCATTGCAGCTCTATTTACAATAGCCAGGACACAGAAGCAACTTAAGTGTCCATCGACAGATGAATGGATAAAGCAGATGTGGCACATATATACAATGGAATATTACTCAGCCATAAAGAGAAACGAAATTGAGTTATCTGTAGTGAGATGGATGGATCTAGAGTCTGTCATACAGAGTGAAGTAAGTCAGCAAGAGAAAAACAAATATCGTATGTTAACACATATATATGGAATCTAAAAAACAAAAAAAAAAGGTTCTGAAGAGCCTAGGGGCAGGACAGGAATAAAGACGCAGACGTAGAGAAAGGACTTGAGGACAAAGGGAGGGGGAAGGGTACGCTGGGACGAAGTGAGAGCGTAGCACTGACATATATACAGTACCAAACGTAAAATAGATAGCTAGTGGGAAGCAGCCGCATAGCACAGGGAGAGCAGCTCAGTGCTTTGTGACCGCCTAGAAGGTTGGGATAGGGAGGGTGGGAGGGAGACACAAGAGGGAGGGGATATGGGGATATATGTATATGTATAGCTGATTCACTTTGTTATAAAGCAGAAACTAACACACGATTGTAAAGCAATTATACTCCAATAAAGATGTTAAAAAAAAAAGTCAAACTCCTCACCAGGCAACGGCCCCATCTGCTTCTCCAACCCCATCATGGGTCACTTTCCCTGTCCCTCACCTGGCTCCAGCCCCACTGGCCTCCTTCCTGTTCTTCAAATGTACCCAACTTGTGCTTGCCCCAGGGCCTTTTCATATGCTGTTCCCGCTTCCCAGTTAGCTTCCCGGTTCACATGTCTGGCTGCTTCTCCACCTTCAGGTCTCAGCTTCAATGCCCTCCTTAGTGAGGCCATCCTGGTACGGAAGGACACATCCACGCCCCTGGCATTCTCCACTGTAGCACTGCTGGTTCCTTCTGGAGTCTCTGTTATAAATCACCGGACTGTTTACTTTCCATCCTCTGTCTCCCTGCTAGACTGGAAGCACCACAAGGGCAGGGCCTGGGCTGTAGTGCCCATCACTGTACACCAGGCACTTAGCACACAGCTTATACGTGGTGGGTGTTCTCCCACAAGACAACATCAGTACATTTTAAACCGGTCAGTGGAACACCAGTAGCACTCGCCATAAGTAGAAGCATTGAACCTTGAAGTTAAACAGAATGAAAACAAAAGAGTGCTATTAAATCCAGCTCCATACAAATGACTGCAAAAACTGAACCAGGTTTCGCCCTCCGCTTGTTAAGACGGGAGGTTAGCGGCTGTTAAGGACGGATTTGCATCACCCACTGTGGGACTTTCATCTTTGATGAACCAGAAAGACTGGAGCAGAACTTGGACACATTCTAAGCCTGTGCTGGAATCTGTAGCAAGTAGCGCATGTGAGCATCTCCTGCATATCTTGCTCTGGGTGGGGGCCCCTTCTCCAGACCATGGATACCCCTTCATTCGCCTGCAGAAATCCAAGCCTGCAGCCTAGGTAGCTTTCTTCTCATGGTGACAGCCAGGGCAGTGACTTGGATGAATTTGCTATTCATTCATCAAACGTTCTTTGAGCACATACTCTGTGCCCAGCCCTGCTTTAGGCACTTGGAATCTATTGGTGAGCAATGCCAAGGCCCCTGCCCTCATGGAGTTGACATTCTAGCCCAGAGAGATAGACAAGGAACAATATGTTTAATGAATAAATACATTACATTATATGTTGGGAGGTGAAATCAAGTACTACAGAAAAAGAAAGAGCAGAATCAAGGGGCTCACAGATGCCAGAGTGGTGGGGGGACTGGATTGCAATTTTAAATAAAATGGTCAGGGGAGGCCTCTTTGAGAAGCTGACACTGGAGCAAAAACTGGAAAGAGGTGAAGAAGTGGACTCTGTAGACATCTCGGTGAAGAGTGTTCTGGGTGGTGGAACAGCCAGTGCAAAGGCCCTGAGGCAGGGCATGCCTGGCATGTTCACAGAATAGCGAGGAGGCCTGAAGGGGTGGAGCTGCGTGAGCAAGAGGCAAAGTGGTAGGAGAGGCAGAGAGGTGATGGGGATGAGGTGTAGTGGGGAGCTTCTTGGCCGTCGTAAGGCCATTTGTTTAGAATCTGAGAATCTCTGCAACTGGAATCGTTGCAGAGTCTTAAACAGAGGATGATTATGATCTGATTGATGTTATTAAAGAGAACCTCTGGCTGCCCACTGAGAATGGACGGCAGTGGGGCAAGGGTGGGAGCAGGGAGAGTGGGGATGAGGCTGGTGTTGTAACTGGAAAGATGATGGGGTTGCAGACCAGGGGAGTAGGGGAGGGGGTGAGAAACGGCCAGATTTGGGACCTGTTTTGAGGACAGAGCCAATAGGATTTCCTGATGCTGCGAGGGAGTGATAAGCCTAGGTGACTTCACGTTTTGACCCTTGTGAGTGGCAGGTGTCATCCCTCGAGATGGGAGGACTGAGGGAGGAACAGGGAACAAGGGGCTGGGAAGCGGGGATCAGCAGCTCTGTTTGGGGCAAATGTGAGATATTTAGTCAACATCCAAGTCAGACGTTGTACCACATGTACGGCATTTGGGAGGGAAATGCAGACTGAGATATAAACGTGGGCATGATCAGCACGTGGATGGTATTTCATGAGACTGGGTGAGATCATCAAAGGAGGCAGTGAATCGAGGACCAGGTCTGGGGCCCCCAGTGCACAGGAGGCTGAGAGGGAGCAATGGCCGAAGCCAAGTGCAGAAAGTGTGGGAGGGACATGGGGGTGACCAGCTGACTCGGATGCTGCTACTGGACAAGGAAGCCTGGGCACTGCCCGTTGGGTTTAGCTGTGTGACCACGAAGACCTCGAGGTCCCCAGCCGGGGAGGAAGTTGGGTTGGCATGGGTTTTAGAGAGAAAGGGAGGATTTGGAAATGATGGTTTTTAGACATATGCTATCCCAGACCTCCTTGAGACTAGTCGTCTTCCCAGAAAAATGCACCCAAGCTATTTGGAATCTGTTTTCAGGGAGTCTGTGGCCCCCATGAAGCCCCAGAGTACAGACCATCAACTTGTAGGAAGCCGAGTTACAGGTGCAGTAAGTAGACCAAATGATGGCTCCTCAAATGTGGCCTAATCCCCAGAAGCAGATGCTGTCTTACGTGGCAACAGGGGCTTTGCAGATGTGATTAAGTTAGGGATTTTGAGATGGGGATTCTCAGGATCTGGGTGGGCTCTATGTAATCACAACGCTCCTTGTGAGAGGGAGGAAGGTGAGATGCGGTGGGAAAAGGCATGTGATGACAGCAACAGAGGTTGGAGTGATGGGCATTGAAGAGATACAAGAAGAGGCGACCAGCCAACGTGGCCACTAGAAGCTGAAAAAGGAAAGAAAATGGATTCTCTGCCAGAGCCTCCAAAAGGAACCAACATGCCACCCCTTGATTTTAGCCCAGTGAAACTGATTTCAGACTTCTGACCTCAGAACCGTAAGAGATAAATGTGTGTTGTCTGAAGCCACGAATTGGGTTAGAGCAGCAGCTGGAAACTAATACGGGGATGAGAGGTGTGTCACCTGCCCAGTCTTCTCATGAAGATGGAGAAGTCACAGCCATGTGGGGAGGTTCATTCCAGCCCGAGGTCAGGATGCAGCCGCATGTGCGCCAAGAGGGCCTGTTGTGGAGACAGTTCACATCCCAGTCCTTCTACAAACTGACACCTGAAGACCCACACACCACTCTGACCTTAGTTTCTGCTCTGAAAATGAGGATAAAAACAAGATCTTGGGCTTCCCTGGTGGCGCCGTGGTTGAGGGTCCACCTGCCGATGCAGGGGACGCGGGTTCGTGCCCCGGGCCGGGAAGATCCCACATGCCTCGGAGCGGCTGGGCCCGTGAGCCATGGCCGCTGAGCCTGCGCGTCTGGAGCCTGTTGCTCCGCAACGCGAAAGGCCACAGCAGTGAGAGGCCCGCGTACCGCAAAACAAAACAAAAGAAAACTAAAAAAAACGAGATCTTGCAGATTCATTATTACACCCGAGTTAAGGTTAATGAAGCATCGGGTGCCCATTAGGGCCCCTTTTCTTGCCCCCCTGACTCAGCTTTCCTTCAATGTTCCACACATAATAATGAGACGTGCTCTGAACCAGCTGCTGAAAGGTTACTGCCTGTGACCAGGATAATCTTCAAACCTGGGCCCCACCCTCTCTCCACGCAGGGACTCAGTTCTCTAACTCTTGGCACTGCTTCTCCCATCTCAGATTTTGGCTACGTGACTCAAGTGCCCCAAACAGGGAGAGTTACTGACCTCGACTCCTTTGGGAACCTGGAAGTGAGCCCCCCGGGTGACAGCCGGGGAGAAGGAATACCTGCTGGGCAGGATTCTCACTGGGGACAGCGGTTACCCCAGGTAAGGAGGAGAGGCGGGGAGAGGGGTGGCCAGGACCCAGGGATGCTGGGGAAAAGCAGAGGCCAGAGCAGAAGCCTTCCCTACTTGCTCCCAGACCAAGAAGGCTCAACAAACTTGAGGGGGTATGAGAGCAATCAAAATACACAGCAAGGAACACCTGCTGAGGAGCCCAACAGTTCCAAGCTCAAATTCCAGCTCTACCACTTACACACGTTTGGTAGGTAAATATTTACTGAGCACCTACTATGTGCCCGGCACTGTGCTAGGAGCTAGGAAGGAATGTAGCCATGAACATGACAGATAAGTCCCTGTCACTATTCTAGTGGGGGAGACATATAATAGAAAAGCAAACAAATAAGATAATTTCAAACAATAAAGAGAGCACAAAAGGGAGAGGCAGAGGAAGAGTGGGAACTATGTTAAGGGGACTGGGGAGGGCCTCTCTGGGGAGGGGGCTTTTGAACAGAGGTCTGATGACAAGGAGGACATGGCTGCATGGAGATCTGGGGTGGAGGGTTCCTGGCAAATGAAAGAGCAAAGACCCTGTGGCAGGAATAGCTTAGTGCAGGGGTCCCCAACACTCGGGCCACGGACTGGTACCAGTGCGAGGCCTGTTAGGAACCGGGCCGCACAGCAGAGGTGAGTGGCGGGCAAGCGAGCGAAGCTTCATCTGTATTTACAGCCGCTCCCCATCGCTTGCATTTCCACCTGAGCTCCACCTCCTGTCAGCATTATGGTGAGTGGTATAATTATTTCCTTATATATTAGGATGTACCAATAATAGAAATGAAGTGCGCAATAAATATAATGCACTTGAATCATCCTGAAACCATCTCCCGCCACCCCCCATCCCTGTCCGTGGAAAAATTTGTCTTCCATGAAACCGGTCCCTGGTGTCAAAAAGGCTGGAGACCTCTGGCTTAGTGGGTTCAAGCAGGCCAGAGTGGCTAAAACAGACTGAGTAAGAGAAAGAGCAAAGGGCTAGATCACAAAGGACCTTGGAGGTCAGAGCAAGAGGAAAACTGATGTCCCCAAGGGCACACAGCTAATAAGAGTTCACCGAATCAATGGGACCAGCTCCAAACCCCACGTTTACTCACAACACCAGCATCTAGGCTGAGTCAACAGGCAGTGTTTTCTGAAGGTAAGCTCTGGTCCTACTTACCTTACTGACTCCATGCCTCAGTTTTCCCCAATAAAACTGGGGTGACAATTTCTAAATTTCTCAGATGTTAGGAGATGTAATAAAAAAAAAAAAAAGGTATTCCAGGGTCCTGAATCCCTTCCCTGAAGGAGAACCTTGGCCCCCAAGTCCCAGTCCCGCAGAAACTTCCTTGTTAATCCCCACCCTTGTTGGCTCCCCCACCCCCATCTCCCCATAACACTCCTTTAACCCTGCGTTGGCAGCAAGGAGAGCCAGGAGATGCACCAGGACCTGCAGGATTTCCTCAGTGCCCAGCAGGTGCAGGCCCCTGTGAAACTCTACTCCGACTGGCTGTCTGTGGGCCACGTGGATCAGTTCCTGAGCTTGGTTCCAGTGCACAAGAAGGTGCAGTCCGGGGGGCTCCCTGGAGGAAGCCACATGCCTTCTTCTTGGGTTTCCAAACACAGCTCTGCCTCTGCCTGGGGGTGACTGACCTTACCATCCTGACTCTGTTTCTCCCTCACACCCAGGAGGGGGCATGTAAGAGGCGGCCTGCCCAGGTCCAAGCCCACACTCCCCATACCCTCAGCAGAGCCTTCCTCCTTAGGAGACCCAGGGGCAAAGCTGACCTCTGACCCCAGGGTTTCTGCCTCCAGGGCTTCCGGCTGCTCCTGGCCAGCCCCAGGTCCTGCTACAAACTGTTCCAGGAGCGAATGAAGGAAGGCCATGGGGAGGCTCTGCTGTTCCAAGGGGTCAAGAGTAAGTTGGCCGTGCCTGTTCTTTTACCTGGGAAACTTCCTCTGTCTTCACATGGTCTCCTATTGCCAGACGGAACCATTCAGGCAACAGACATCTTCTGACCAGCCACTGAGCACCAGGCTTCGTGCTAAGTGCTAGGGATGCTGTATGAACAGGGCAGAATAGCTCCCTGCCCTCAGGACCCAGAGTCCAAGGCAAAGTGAGTCAAGGAAACAACTAAACACAGGGGCATTGAGGGGTGTCTGGGAGGAGCTCAAGGAAGGCTTCCTGGAGGAGGCGAAGATCAAACATGAGCGTGAGAGATGGCCAGGCAAATGGGGCAGTGGGTTGGGAGGAAGAGAGATATTCCAGACAGAAGGAACAGTAAAGGCGCAGAGGCAGTAGAACACAAGATGTGTTTGAGGACCTGAAAAAAGTTCAGTCTGGGTGGAGCACAGAATGAAATATTTTTTTCAGTGAAATCCACAGACACTGGCCAGAGTCAGAGGTTGACGTCACCATGGCTGAGAGTTTTCACCTAATATCTGTATATGTCCTGTAGCATCAGGCAATGGTCAGACCTCTGTTTGCCCCTCCAGAAACGGGATCCCTTTGGAGATAAGAGAATTTAAGGGAGCGAAGGTAACACTCTTAATGAGAACTTACCCTGATGGATTATTTTATTAAAGTCATCTGCCTCTCGGATGTTCATAATAAACCTATATGTTAGGAATCATTGCTGCCCCCCTTTTATAGATGGGAAAACTGAGCCCCGACTGGACCTGCTGGGAAGAGCAAAATGGACCTCTGAATTCATCTGCTTTTTTTCTTTTCTTTTTCTCCATGACAGACAAAACCCAGCAGAAAATAAAGGACATTCTGTCAAGCGAGAAACTGAGAGAACATAATTCATATGTGGAGGTACTAGCCTGGCTGCCCAGGAGATGCCATATCCCGGGCAGACCTGACACTCCCACCCCCACCTCCAGCCCCCTTCCCTAAGGTTAGAGGCCCAAGGCAGAGCCTTCCACGGGCTCCACGATGAACAGCCCTGGGATTTGGGTCAATGTGTGTGTGAGAGAAAGAAAGAGAGAGAGGAGACCTCGGTCACCACTACAGGAACACACACAAGGTGATGCACAGAAGAGAGAGAATTGGCAAAGCTGGAGCTGGAGAAAGATGCGGGAAACTCTCAGAAACAGAGGGACAGAGGCAGGAGAGAGGCCAAGCCTTGGAGTGACCAGAAAGGCAGGGACACAGAAGCAGAAAAGAGAGGCAGAGGGACTGAGCAGAGGGAGGGAAGGAGGGAGAAAAAGGAGGTGCCCATCACCGCGTTCCTGACCCTGTCCCTGGTCCTTCCCCTGGCCGGGCCTCGGCCCCACCTGCCCCTCCCCCACGGCAGCCCGCGCCCCGCCCCGTGCTAGCCCCGCCTCCCCAGAAATGCATCGACTGGAACCCGGAGGTGGTGAAGCCGGGGGAGCTGGGCCTGACGGAGCGGGACATCGTGGACATCCCCCAGCTCTTCAAGCTCCAGAAAGGCTTCAAAGGGACCCTCGAGGCGGAAGCCTTTTTCCCAAACATGGTGAGGAAGTGACCTTCTGAGTAGCCTTAAATCAGAGAGGCCAGCTGGGCACTGGGTCCAGGAGGCTTGGTTGTCTCCTCACCCGTTGGGGTTTGCACGGCCCTATCCGCCTTACAGAGGCTTTAGGCAACCACCTGGGGGTCAAAGGCTATCATCGCCCACACTTTACAGATGATGCCCAGGGAGACCAGGTCCCTGGCAAGAGGTGGGTTTCATAGCTGGGATTCAGAGCCTGCGGTCTGGCTGAACTGCCCCCTGTGGACTTCCGGTGGCGGGTGAGGTAGGAATGGGGCAGGTTCTGGGTGGGGGAGACAAGCAACAAGCAAGATGCTCTCAGGTCGAATTAAGTACCATGAAGGGAATAAAGGTGGGGCACCTTTTCAGACTGGTCCAGGAAGGCCTCTCTGAGGAGGTTAGGCTGGCACTGCCTGGGCTAAGTGGGATTCACCTGTCTGAAGGGTGAACTTGAGGGAGATCCACTTTTGTCGAGAACTTTTAACTGACCCCAGCACCATCTTGAAGTCATCTAGTACATATTTCCCATCCCTCTGCCCTCTTGCTGTGTCTCTTCCAAGAATACCCAAAGGCCAGGCAGAAACCTCACCCAATTCTACTGGGGTCCTTCAGCCCCCTCTCCTGCTGCAGCTGCGGATTACATACAGTTCAGGGAGGAGCCTGTAGTCCCTGGCACAGTGGTCTTCAAACTGGGTTCTCCAGGGCCCTGGGGTTCCAAGGTAGGACCTCAAATGCAGTGGTTTAGATTTTTTCTGTTTCATGCACTGAAGTGCTGCACAAGATTTTGTTTAGAATAAAGCTTCCTTGGCTAAAACGAGACAGGAGGGGGCACCCTCCTCTTAACCCCTGGAATAAAATTGGCCCCAAGCGTTTCATTTTTTCTCCAGTTTAGCCCAGCCAGGCAAGAAAGCTGATGCTGACAGATGGGGAATGAGGCATCTCAGATGAAGTAATCAGCTATGCTGAGGGCCGACTTCATACCTCCACTGTGCGAGGCCCCAGAGGGAGCTGGAGCCTGAGCCATGACTCTCCCGGGAGCCCCGTGATGGGCGGTGGGGGCGTGGGCCTGGGCGTGGAACAGGCGGAGAAATGAGGAGTACCAGGCACTTGGCATGGGCTGCATCTGAGCTGTGAGATGCCCCCTTCAGTGACTCGTAAGCCCTGGAGACTGACTCCGTGCTTACTACGAGCTGGCACAGACTCTGCATACAGGTTCTTACCCAATTGTCATAGCAATGGAAATGTGTTTGGGTTCTTTTTGCTGATGGGGCTCAGAGAGGCGAAGTGACTTGCCTAAGGCCACATAGCTATATAATAGTAGTGCTGGGATTCAAATCCATGTTGGCCTGGAGCCCAAATCCTCATCCTTTCACCTCACCAGGCCACCTCCCAATATAATGGAGGAAACATAGTCATTTACATAAGGTATAACATATGGAAAGTGCCCCAAAATAGGTAGTCACTTATTCACCAGATCATATCAACAGATATTTATTAAGTGCCTACTCTGTGCCAGGCACTGTGCTGGGAGCTATGGAAACACAGAGGAAGATGACTAACTCACCGGCAGCTTCACGGAGGCGGTGGTACTTGAGCTGGGCCTTGAGTAATCGAGTTTGCCAGAGTGTGGCAGTGGGGAAGGAGAGAGCAGTGTTAAGAATGTGGACCCCGGAGTCCGATAGATTTGAGTATAAGTCCTAGACTCGCTGGGTGGCCTTAAGTAGCTCACGTTACCGGCTGGGCCTCAGTTTGCTCATCTGTGAAGTGGGGCTGTTATTTCCAAAGGTCAGAAGAGGAAGGGAGCACTCAGATGGTGCCGCAGGCTGCACGCTGCCGCCCCTGACCTGGGCTCCTGCTTCTTTGCAGGTGAACGTGCTGGTGCTGGGGAAGCACCTGGGCATCCCCAAGCCCTTCGGGCCCGTCATCAACGGCCGCTGTTGCCTGGAGGAGAAGGTGCGGTCCTTGCTGGAGCCGCTGGGCCTCCACTGCACCTTCATCGATGACTTCTACACCTACCACGTTAAGCAGGGGGACGTGCACTGCAGCACCAACGTGCGCTGGCAGCCCTTCTCCTTCAAGTGGTGGTGCATGGTGCCCTGAGCCCATTCCCCCCACCCCGCCCCCGGAAGCTCCTGGCCAGAGGCTCTGGTCCCCTGCAGTGAGGCACAGCAAGAGCCCTTGGGGATATTTTGGCTCCGGGGGAGGGGTGGGGGCTCACCCTCTGGGCAGTGGCTTGATTCCTTCCCCTGTGCCCCAGCCCCTGAAATCCTCACCGAGGACCCCAACATGGTCGTGGCATTGAAAACTCACTTCTGCTGTGAGAAGCTGCAATGACGTTTTTTTGTTGGTTTTTGGGGGGTTTTTTTGCGGTACGCGGGCCTCTCACTGCTGTGGCCTCTCCCGTTGCGGAGCACAGGCTCCGGATGCGCAGGCTCAGCGGCCATGGCTCACGGGCCCAGCCGCTCCGCGGCATGTGGGATCCTCCCGGCCCGGGGCATGAACCCGCGTCCCCTGCATCGGCAGGCGGACTCTCAACCACTGCGCCACCAGGGAAGCCCTATCATATGGTTTTTATGCAATGACGTTTTACAGTCACTTTGTATGTGAGGTCAAGCTAATGCTCCTGGCATTCATTCATTTATTCATTCACTCACTGTCATGATCGAATTGAATATTACAAACTTGAAGGTTCGACCGGGATACATTGAAGGCCAACATTCCTGCATATGTCTTTCTTTCCCGGGCATACACTGGGTCTGTAAAATCTTCTGTGATCTGAGCCTAGTTGATTCTAATCTTCCCAAGGAGCCTCTGATGGAGACTGAGGGGGGAGGGGGAGGGCTGAGCCCCCCAGGGGTGCAGCACATCCCCAGAGCTGCACTGAAGTCAGTTTCCAAACAGCCAGTCAAGTGAACCGCCTGAGGTGTATGGATGCTCATTTGATTATTTGCTTTAATGTGTGTGTATGTTAAATGCACTCCTCTGTATTTCATGATTAAAAAAATAAAGTTATAAAAAGTTGACTGGATCACAGGGACCCTCGGCAGGAAAGACCAGCAGAGATTAAGTCGTGTCAGCCTCGGGCTTCTCTGGATACCACAGAGCGATATTTATCAGGTTTGAGGGCAAAGGTGCAACCTGATTCCTGGTCACATTGTCCTTTGGAAAAAAGGCAACAGACATGGAATGCAAGAACCCAAGGGGGACATGAGAACTGACTGTCGTTTCAAACACGCAAACGTTTCAGACATCAGCAAATTCTCATTGTCTCTCCCATTTGTCGTTTCCATTTGTCATTTCCACCAGCTAGAAAGCCCTATAAAGCAGAGTCTTGTCCCTCTTGTTTTCTGCTGTGCCACACTCTGCCTAGCTGGACGTGGCACAGAATAGGAGCCATGGATTTTACGGAATGAGGTTGTTAGTCCCCACTGTGTCCTTTTCATATGTTTTCTTTTATGGCCCTGACATTAGGACTTAAGATTCCCCTGAAGAAAATAAAACTTGGTGACTTGAGGTCTTGATGATTGAGGCCAGATTTTGGCTCCATAGAGCCTGAGATGCTCAGAAAACACCCAGAGATGCTGTTTTCAGGTGGGTTGTGGAGAACATGATGGTGGAAAAAGATGGTCATCCGGAGTGTCTGCCCTCACACAGACTAAGGAGAAAGGGATCCATAAACCCGGTCACCATGTGCTGCTTTCTCTGAAGAGAATCAGCTCCCCCCACCCCCACCCTGCTTGGAATTTGCTGAGGCAGAAGATGCACAAGTGTTTCTTGTGGACAGAAGGGGGCCGTGCACAAGGGGAAGCTGGTGTGAGGTTGTCCCCAAACCTGACCAATAGGGCAGCCTGGAGCAGTGAATGAGCTCAGTAGACAAAAGCTGAAGCCCTTGCCAGATTCCTGGGGCTTCAGAAGGCTGGAGATGAGCTGACAGCTAAAGCAGCCCTTGCATCAGCTAAATGCAAGTGAGCCTCCTCCAACCGTTCATGGGGGATGTGGGGCATCAGTAAAGGAGCCAGGGGAGCCCGAGTGAGAGAAAGCACCAGTTTAAGTCCTACCAGCCCCGTAGAGCATCTTGTGATGGCACCCAGGCGCAAGAACTTTCCTGCTGCCTCCCTCCCTAACACCCATCTCTCCTCCCTTCTCCTGCATTCACATGTTAGTTTTCTGCAGCTGCTCTAACAAATTACCACAAACTTGGTGGCTTAAAACAACAGAAATTTATCCTCTAACAGTTCTAGAGGCCAGAAGTCCAGAACCATTTTCACTGGGCTGAAATCAAGATGTCCGCAAGGCCGGGTCCCTTCCGGAGCCCTAGGGGAGAATCCGCCCTTTGCCTCTTCCAGCTTCTGGTGGCTGTCGGCATGCCTCGGCTGGTGGCTGCATCACTCCAGTCTCTGCCTGTGTGGTCGTTGCCTTCTCCTTCTGTGTATGTCACTCCCTCTGCTTCTCTTATAAAGACACTTGTGATGGCATTTACGGCCCACCCAGATAATCCAGGATAATCTTAGCTCAAAAACTCTTAGTCACAACTGCAAGGACTCTTTCTATATGAGATAACACAGGTTCTAGGGATTAGGGCCTTGATATCTTTTGGGGGCTATTATTCAACCTACTACAGGTTAGGAGCCACCATTTGCCAGCTGGACAGATAGAAGGGGAAGAAAGAAGCCAAGCATCCCCTTTCCAGAGTTCTAAGTTTTGCAGCTGCATTAAATCCTAACGGGAAAGACTTAACTTTTTTAAAATTGACATATAATTGACATATACGTTGTGTAAGTTTAAGGTGTACAAACGTGTTGATTTGATACATTTATATATTGCAATACGATGACCACTGTAGTGTTAGCTGATACCTCTATCCCATCACATAATTATCACCTTTTTGTGGGGGGGGGGTTAGATTTAATTTCATAAAAGCAAATCAAGGGGTTTTCTTTTGTGTGGGATTCAACTTTTAAACCTCTGAATTGAGATTGTTTGGTGACTGTTTTATGTCTGGTTCCCAGAAACAGATTCTGCCCACAGGAGGTTTCTGGGCCGGGGGTGGGGTGGGGGGAACGGTGGGAGGGTGCTCTTAGGAACCATAGGTGGGAGGGAGTCTGGGGGGCAATGGGAGATGATGAACTGGGATGTAGTGACCACAAAGGTTTTGGGAAATCCCCTGGGATGCTCTGGGGCTGGGCCCTCAGAGTGGTCCTGAATTAAGACAAGCAGCCTGCCCTTTGTCTCCCCACAGTGGATGTAGCTGCCCCCAAGGAGGGACTGTAGCCTTGGGAATTGGCAGTAGATGATTCCAGGAAAGGGACTTGCTGTGAGCAGCCGGAAGCCAACACTCACAGCAGCTGGGGAATTAATGCCTCCGCCCTGAAGAGGGGGTCAGGTGGCATACCGTAATGTCCACCAGTGACCCAAAGTGACCATGGGAGTTGATTATCTCAGGAAACGTCACTGAGGAGCTGAGGGAGGACTTCCTACACTGAATCAGCATGTGAGGAAGCATGGGAATCCATGTAGAAGTTGCCTTATGGTTACAAACCCCTAGCTTCATTGGAGAGACCTGGGGAAGCCCACTGGGTTATCTTTTGTGGGTGGGGATTGGGGGTCATTTAGTCATTTGGGCCACAAAAACTTATTGAGTACCTACTATGTCCAGGACTCTTGTGGATGCTGGGGAGTCAGTGGTGGACAGGAATCCCCCTAGATGGGGTGCAGGACCTGCTCTAGATCCCTCCAAGCCCCTCTCATGCCCTGAGGGTTCTCCATGCACCAGGCCGAGGGTGCCCCTCCGCACTATACTCAGAGCCCCGCACAAAGCAGAGCTGCCCAAAGGTGGGAGGGACAGAACTCCCATGCTGTTCTGCTCCAGAGCCCTGAGCCCAGCCCTCTCAACCCCTCCCAAGTCAGACCATCCCTTTCCTCTAGCCGGGCTCTGGCTGGCTTGTCTGGGAGCAGATGGGTGGATGGGTGCAGGTGAGCCATTTGGGGTGAGAGCATACACATGATGGGCTCTTCCTATCAGAGGGGCAGTTAGGGTCTTCCTGGCCACCCCCTGCCTCCAAGAGCCCCCCAAAAAGCCACTCCTGCAGTTATGCTGCATGCTTAAAGCCTCCAAGGAGGGCTAGTTTTCTTTTTAATCTCGAATTCACCAAGCCTGACTCACTGGCAGCCTTCACACGGTACCCAACTTATGTCCCCCAGGCAGTTACACACAGGTTACTCATCACAGCATCGGGTGCCAGGGTAAAAGACTGAACACAAATGCTTATATATGATTGTACAGCCTTCCTCAGAATACTACACAGCCATAAAAAAGGCTCAGGATGCTTTTTCACCTACTGATACGAAGAACTTCTCTCTGAGTTATAAATTTGATGAAGTGAACAAAACGAGGTATGGAATACTATGCAGCATATATATTACCATTTATGTAAATGTAAGAAAGAGGGGAGGATATAGGTTCATGTTGGCCTGGTGACGCATAACATTTGGAAAGACTTAGAAGAACCTGATGCTTCTGGCTGCCTGCACGTAAGGGAACTGAGTGGGTGAGAGACAGGAGGAGGGAAACTGTTGCTAAGCCCCTTTTGAACTTGGACCCATGAATGTCATAGCTAGTCATGAATAACTATAACCCACACTTAAAACATAAAATGAACAGTTTTAAAGTTAGCTGGTAAACCTCGTGGGCTGGAACAGGTGTTCTCATTTCTTTGCTCAGTGAACTCAGCAGAGATGGGGAGCAGCTGGTGACGGTTCTCAGTGGGGATCTTTCATCCATTCATTCCACCAATACCTGCCCGGCCCCTGCTGGGAGCTGGTGACACAGCTATGGTCAAGGATCCCCCTAAGCACCTGGGGAGGGGGGGCAGCTTCCTGGACCACACCCCAGGACTTTGCAACTTTAAGTAGCTCCCAGGGCTTCCCTAGTGGCGCAGCGGTTGAGAGTCCGCCTGCCGATACAGGGGACACGGGTTTGTGCCCCGGTCCGGGAAGATCCCACGTGCCGCGGAGCTGCTGGGCCCATGAGCCATGGCCGCTGAGCCTGCGTGTCCGGAGCCTGTGCTCGCAGCGGGAGAGGCCACAACAGTGAGATGCCC